GCATGTGGCCTTAGCATTAAGTGATATGAACATTTTTTATCACTTCCAAATGAGATGTCAAATATAATATCTCAAAAATTGATATGGCAATTTTAATCGTTAAATCCAATAATTGTGGATAACCATCTGAATGGAACGAATTTGGATATGGAAGTTTGGGTATATTTTGGATATGGGGAAAAATGTTTATATTATTTAGTTATGGTTTTGGATATGGTTATAGGAATCTAAACCGTATTTGTAACCGAATCCGACCCGAATAGTAAACAATATAATTTATATATAATAGAATAGAATAATATTTATATGTGTATGTGTATGTGTATGTGTATGTGTGTGTGTATATATATGTGACATTCCACATCGCCTAGAGTACATTAACTATTAAAAAAATAATCAAAATTAATTGTAGTTTTTATTGTATTGGTTGTTAATGGGATCCATGTATTAAAAATTCAATTAAATATATTTGACTCCTTCTTTGTTTGCTGTAAAAAAAAGGTAGCTAAAAAGTAAAGAGTCAAATGACTTACATGCCACATCATAAATGGCATTTCTATTGGAGAACACCTAAATGTCTTTTAATCCTATTTGACATATTTGACATCTCATTTAGAGATGGTCTTAGACGTCAGATTTTATTTTCTAAACTGTTAAACCCTTTATTTTTAATATCATACATTTCATTTTTATACTATTAAGATGATCTTTAATTATTGGCTTAAAACTTAGAATTTAGGTTTTAAACGAGTCCAATCATTCTCCAATGATTGGGCCTAAAATAAATATTGGATTAAAATCCAAATTGGTTAAAACCCAAAATTTGGGCAAATTTAGCCCATAATTTATGCCAAGGTTAAAAGGCTAGCCCACAAAAATTTAGAATTTAAACTAACTCAATTATTCTTCAATGGTTGGATATCTAAAATAAGTTTTGAGTTAAAACCTAAAATTTGGGCAATTATAAATTTTTGCGTACGTTAAATCCTATGTTTAAATCTAATGATAAAAAAATAAAAAAATAAAAACATCTAACGGCCCAAAATTAAATTCAACTGTTAAAACAATTAAAAAATATTTAAATCAAAATTCATCCAAAAACTCTATAAATTCATGTTTTATGGGGTCAGTTTTGTGAATTTTCAACTTTTCTCAAAATCTGAATATTTTTTAGGTTAAAATGTTCATAAAACTAAATTATGATAATCTACATAAATTTTATTTTGAAAAAAAAAATTAACAAAAAAAAAATAGCTTAAATTCATACTTTAGTAATTTTGAGATAAAATTTTAACCTAGAGCTATTGGAGCAAAAATAAAAATAAAAAAAAATAAAATAAAACAGTTTCTAAGTTAAAATCTAAATTTTATGAGTTAAATATTTTAGATTTTAACTCAAGAGTTGGAGATGATCTAAATAATATGAATATGGTTTGCACACATTTTTTTTTTTCATCTTCTGCCCTTTTTTGTACCACTAAGTGCTAAGAGATATAGTTTTGTGCACAATGATAAGGTGCAATTCATTACCTTTGTTTATGCTTATCCTCAGAAACATTAACAAGCTAATCTCTGGGATCAAATTTTAGCTCATACACCATCAAAGCATCCTTGGTGTTTAATTGGAGACTTCAATAATATTGTGGATTCCACTGAATAGCTTGTGGGCTGCTCTAATACTACTACCTACATGAATAACTTCATTAATTTTCTAAATAGGGTGACTTGATTTCCCTAACTGCCTCCAGTGTTCCCTATACTTGGACCAATGTTCATAGTGACAACACTAGGATTTATGAGAGACTTGATCATGGTGTTGCTAATCCTTGGGAGTTCCATGACTTTTCTTTACATAATTTTCCTATCTTAGGATCGGATCATAGTCCCATCTTACTTATGAATAATGTAAACCCTATTAGAAAAGGCTTTATTCCTTCAAGTTTGAAGTTATGTGGTTACGTCATCCTAATTTTAGGAATTTTGTCAAAAGTGCTTGGACTTGTACAAATACTTCAAGGCCACAAGAAAAGTTTGTTGCTTGTGCAGGGACTTTCAAGTGTTTTGCAAAGAAGTGGAACAAAGAGACCCTTGGTAATGTCAAAGATCGTAAGGATAAGCTTTTAACCTCTCTCTGTGATATTCAAAATAAAATTATGAGGGATCAAGATAATTCTATAAGCATGGAGGACGAGGTTAAATTTAGAAGTGAGCTTAACAGAGTTTTACAAGAAGATGAAATTATGTGGGCTAAAAAAGCTAAGGTTAAGTGGCTTCAATTGGGAGATAAAAATACTAAATATTTTCAAATGATGGCTTCTATTCGTAAGAAAATAAATAAAATAAAATCTATTAAAGATAGTAATGGTTTCTGGTGGAATTATGGGGAAGGTCTAGAGCAAGTTTTTGTGCAGGAATTTAAACTACGTTTTTCTTGTGATAGTTCCACTTCTTAGGAAACATTGGCTAATGGTTGATATCATAACTCCTTGCATTGATCATATGCATAATATGCAACTACTTGAATGTATTTCAGAGATAAGGAAGTTTGGGAAGCGGTGAATAGCATTGGTGCGTTAAAAGCACCCGGACCTGATGCTCATTGTGTTGCTTTTTACCAAGGCTGTTGGGAAGAGGTTAAAAATACTATTATTCCTATGATTAAAGATTTCTTTCAAAATAATTCAAGCCTAAGGTTTATTAATCACACAAATATTGCCTTAATCCCAAAAGTGGATAATCCTGAAACTGTGTCCAATTATGGACCCATTGGTCTTTGTAATGTTAGTTATAAAATTATAACAAAAATTATTATTAAAAGGCTTAAGCCTTTGCTTGACCTATGCATTTATGCTAATCAAGGTGTTTTTACTATGTGGCGTTCCATTCATGATAATATCTTAATTGCCCATGAGTTGTTTTCCAGCTTCAAGGTAAAGAAAGGCAAGACAGGGTCCATGGGTGTTAAATTGGACTTGGAAAAAGCCTATGACCTTTTAAATTGGGATTACATAAGGTATGTTCTAATTCGCTTTGGTTTTAATGAGAAATGGATCAACTTAATAATGGAATGCATTACATCAACTTCTTTCTCAATTTTAATTAATGGCTCTCCACATGGTTATTTCTATCCTAATCGTGGCATACGACATGGTGACCCCTTGTCACCTTACATTTTCATTTTATGTATGGAAACACTTATTAGACATTTTAATCATTTGGCTTCTACTCCTAAATCTCATGTGGAAATCCCATCATCCCCTAGGGGATTTAGAATTTCAAATCTAGTTTTTGCCCAAGCTACCCCTAAAGGGGCTAGAAATGTCCTTCAAATCCTTAAGATGTTTGCATCGGCTATAGGCCAACAGGTAAATTTTCATAAATCTTCTATTTATTTTTCGAATAATACTATCAACCAAGATAAGAAATATACTGTGAATATCTTGAGCATTCAACATAAAACCACTATTGGGAAGTACTTAGGGATCCATAATATAGTTTTCTGGATGGATCCAGTTAACAAGATAGAATTAATTAAATGGGTGAAGCAAAAACTTGCCAGTTGGAAAGGGCAAACCCTTTCCAAGGCCGGGAGGCTAACTCTTATTAATTCTAGGGATGCCAAATCATGTAATGTCTTGTTTTAAGTGCCCCAGTAGGGTAACAACTAAAATTGATAAAGAATGCAAATATTTCTTTGGGGGGAGAAATACTAAACTCAGACCAATGGCCTAGAAGAAGATTTGTTCTCCAAAGAATCATGGTGCTTTAGGAATCAAACAGATTGAACATTTTAACAATGCTTGTTTAGCCAAATTAGGTTGGAAAGTTTTAACCAACAAAGAAAATTGGTGGACTAAAATAGTCAAACGTAAATACTTATGTAAGTCCGATTTTTTAAATTCGAAGATTAAACAAAACTACTCACTTGCTTGGAAATGCATTCTTTTTAATAGAAACATCATTCATGAAGGATTGAGATGGATTGTGGGTAATGGTGAAGACATACTATTCTGGACCCATCAATGGATTCTTCCTTACCCCTTTTTTCATTTAATACCTATGAATGATGGGAATAATATTGATTGGAATCTTAAGGTAAGCAACTTTATAGTTCATAATAATTGGGGTAGCATTAAATTAGCTATTGTAGTTGATGATGACATCATTAGAAAAATTTGTCACATTCCTCTCCCTCTACAGGAGTCAAAAGACAAGTTAATTTGGGGTTTAACCAATAATGGGAACCTTTTCATTAAGTCTGCTACCTGGCTACAAAATCGGAACGATCCCTCTAGTAATCGCCTTACATTGTTAAAGAAAATGTGGAAGCTAACTATTCCTCCTAAAGTTAAAATGTTTGCTTGGCTTATGATTCAGGAAAGGTTGCAAACCAGAAAACACTTAAGTTGTTTTGTTAAAAATATTGATAAGTTATGTCCGTTATGTAATACAGCCAAAGAAGATGAATGTCATCTCTTTTGTAATTGTGTTTTTGCTACTAAAGTTTAGAGCTCAACTTTTGGTAGTTTTAGGGGGTGTATTTAATTTGGATTTTGAAGAATTTTAATTCTTTTAATGAATCTAGGAGTATTCAATCAGGATTTTAAATGATTCTCTGAAATTCAATATGTATTCAAACAAAATTTTAAGATAGTTTATTAAAATCCTTGTAAATCCAGAGGTATTTAATTAGAATTTTAAAGAAGTTTATAACATTTCAGGTGTATTCAATTAGAATTAGAATTTAAAGAATTTGGAAAAGTTGAGGAATTAGAGGGAATTTGAGAGATTTTGTAGTATATTTTAAGTATCCATAAATCTCACCTCTCCCTATGAGATTTCGAGGGAATTGAATCAAAATTTTACATAGAATATCTACAAATTAGTTAAACTCCATAAAAATCCATGGATTTATAAATCCATTTAAATCTCCCAAATTCTCAATTTAATACACCCCTAATAATGGTAACATAAGTACTAATGATAATTTTTTTGATTGGATGGAATGCTTAAGTTCTAATGACAAAGACGGCATTTCTGATCTTAGTAAAGTAATTCTGAACTGCTGGCAAATCTGGATAGAAAGAAATAACTTGGTGTTCAGAAGTGTGCCCCTGGTCCTGGCGCGTTGTGTTTCTATCTCCCGTAGTGTTGGTTTGGCTTTTCTCAAGGCTAATGGGAAATGTGACCCCAATGAGGCTTTACCTATCTCTTCCTTTATTAAATGGCATCCTCTTGACCGACATGATGTGATTAAACTCAATTTTGATGGTTCAGTTTCGAACAGCCGTGCTGCTGCTGCCTTTGTGCTTCGTAACAGTAATTCACAGGTTATTGGGGAAGGGGCTCTTAACCTTGATGGCGTTACTATTTCAGTAGCAGAAGAGATGTGTTTGCGAGAATGGCTCCAGTGTGGTAGGCACAAGGGTTTCACCAAAGTGATGGTGGAAGGGGACTCTAAACTCATCATTGAAGCTGTGCAGGGTCACTGGGGGATTCCTTGGAGAGTCAACTCTATAATCAATGATATTTCTATCCTGGCTCAGTCTGTTAGTTAAGTTGACTGGTAGCACATTTTAAGGGAAGCAAACTTTGTTGCGGATGCTTTAGCTCACCATGGTCTCTCCCTCTCGAATCCTCATTATTGGGATTTTTGTTTACCTGTTGTTTCTCTTCATGCCTTTAATTTTGATTGTATTGGAAACGATTGTACTAGAGGTTTCGTGTTTTAATAAATTTCTTTGCATAAATATACATATATATATATATATATATATTGAACAAATCAAAAGAAAAACAAGAGGCAGAATTAAGAGACATGTGCAAGAGGTGAAAAATATTGTGTGGAAATCCCTACCCAAGATGAGTGCTGTAATGCTCTTATTTTCCTATTAGGCTACATTTGGTACGCAGAAATTGTGGATACAAATTTCGTTCAAGGTAGAATTGATGAAACCCCACCTACAAAACAAGAAACACAGTTAGCCTAATTAACGAACATCAAGAAAAAAGGGGAGGGTATCAGCCAAAAGACCTCTGATGCCTAAGTCAAAGAATAGGTTAAGAGAAACTAATATAACAAGTGGTTATTACCGATTTTTCTGAGTTTTTATAGGAGTGAACCCTCGCAAGCAACTAGGAGAAGATGTCGTATGCCATACTAGGTAGACTGTTATGTTTTGCTAGTGTGATGCAAACCAATTTTTGCAAGCAGCTACTTAAAGTCTTGTTGGAGACTTTTGGAAGGTAACTGCACCGTAGCGCTGGACACCCAATGAAGACTTTGAAGGGTCAACTTCCTACAATCCTGGGCCAGGTATGGCACGGGTGGGAAGATAGGGTTATTATGGGTCCAAAGGTCACCTTGATATGTAACTGACCCGAAGGCCAATTCCTTTAGAGCATATAGATGTTAGGCTCTTTGTGGTATACCATGTGGTCTACTCTCGACGTCAAGGGTAAAACCGTCATATTAAGTTAAAAGTCAAAGTGTTCTTGTTATTGAATGTGATTAATTTATGTCTGCGTAGAAATGAGTTTACATGGGGATCAAAAATGAAATTTTTCATTCCTACGTTTGGTAATGATAGGGAAGTGACAAGGAAATATCAATTTTTCGGATAGAATAGACATTTTAATTACAAGGAAATGTCATTTTAATTGTTCATTGGCAACGTCGGTATGGTTTTCAAGTATGGGCATTCAAACCACGGAGTTTAGTAGATTGAATGTGCAAGAATGGCTAATTCAGTTGGCTCACGTTTCATCCACTCCAACTTTTGAGCTGAGTCCCATGATTCTTTGGATGATCTGAAAGGTACGAAGTGAGTTTTTTTTTTTTGGGGGGAAAAGATCCCAGTTACCATTGTGTGATGTGAAGGGATGACTCTGGGAATATAAAAAATGGCATTTTCCATCGGTCTAACAGCAGGTAAAAACCAAATAAAGGTGGAAGAAACCTAAGGATGGATGGATTAAATTTAATTTCGATGGAGAATGGGAAGAGAGGACAAAATGCTCGAGTGGGGGTGGTAGTTAGTAGCTAGGAGGGCATCTTTGTAATGGCATTCGCAGGTCCTTGTTTGGTCGTGTCTTCTGCATTATGTGTATAGTTGATTGCATCAAGAAATGTTGCAATTGTTGCCCAACAGTTAGGCTTGAGTGGGAAGTAGTGCATGTTTGAAGGAGATTCAGTTGTCATCATTGCTGCTGTGAATGGTTAAGGAGAGGATTGCTCTCCACTCACTCCTATTATCAATGATGTTCATGTTTTGATTAATGATTTTTCTCAAATAAAGTTTTACCATGTTAAAAGAGAGGCTAATCAAGTTGCTCATAGACTTGCTCGCACTGGAATGGGTTGTTCTTTGGAGTTGGTGTGGCATGAAGAAATTTCGGATTTAAATGCGGATGTACTAGTTGAATATGTTTCCTATTAATTGTATCCATTTAATTTTCTTGTGAGGATAGCTAACTTTAGTAGTTTATTTGGGATGGTCTTTTTCTATTCGATAGGGTTGAAATCTCTGGCAAAGTTTTTATCAAGACCCATGTAAGTCTTAACCTTTCAGTATATGTGTTAATGCTATGAAATTGAGAAGAAAGAAATAGGTGGGAAGAGAGAGATTTAACAAAGAAATTGTAAACTTTGGATATTTCACACTAAGGTCAAATGACTAATACACTATGGTTTCTAGAAACCATTCTAACAACAATGACTATAATACCCTCTACCAATCTCTAATCACAACTAACTCAACCAATTACAAATTGACTAATGTCATCATCTTAGTATAGCTATTACTCCCCCTTCAAACTCAGTTAGGAATTTCCATGCTAAGATTGTAGAGTACCTGAGCCATCACCATGTTGCTGTTGTAGACACCTTCCAACAAGATTACGCTGCACAGAAATACTAATGACTGGAAAATCCCTTTAAAAAAGACTTGAACCATTGGTGTAGCCATGACGAAAGACATAAGTACAATCCACAAATCAAAACAAATGAATTCTTCTAGGCAGCAAGAGAATGATACTCTTGACAAATTATGTGGAACGAAAGAAAGGATGATACTTTCTTAACATCAAGAAAGAATGGCACTTTCTTGAAATCTTGTAATCTAACAAAATCACTGAATGAAACAATAGTTTCTCATTGGATTCATCCAAAAGCAAGAATAACCCCAGTTTTCAACATAAACCCATATATCTTCAAGAAACCGCCTATGAATTTCAAAAGCATAGAAACAAAACAAAATCGCCAGAAAACCACACCAAGAATGTAACACCAAACCACTTGATACTGTCGTTGAGGGATCCATACCAAGAGCTATATACGTTCATATATACTCCTTGATTGCAAGGATAATGATGAATATGGATGCCAAGAGGCCCAATGTAAATGCAAATGGTGCTGTAATTACAATTGCACAAAGTCATGCCAAGCAGATTTGCAAAAGCATTCCATTTTGAGCATATTTTGTTCATCACATACTACAAGACATATCCTACATAGTTACATAGTTGATTCTCCATAAACACCAAAAGTCTCAAGAATCATTGCTAGGAAATCACATATCGATTGCAGTAAATTTTCACTAAGTATTGCACCTCAGACATACCAAAATCCCTAACAAGCCCAGAGAAAAATGTGGAAGTGCAACAAAATACAAAATCGAGGGTTACGCAAATTGTTGGTCGTAGTGAGAAACAAATGTCACAAACATTTGGTGCCCACACAAAACTTAACTGCTCAATAAAGACTTCAAGCCCTCAAAATCAACAAACAATCGAAAACTTCAATATGATTCAGATCACAAAACTCACATTCAATTTCACCAAGATTCAAGATATAAAAGAAAACTAAACCAATTGAAGAAGAAGCCTAAATAATAATGATGAAAAAGCAATAAGTCATGGGTGAAGCAAATCGTTGAACACCAAATGTGCGAAAATACCACCGATATCTGAATCGATTGCAACAAGCAGAAGAAAAAAAAAATCAGACGATCCCAAAACAATCCATATCAAGTCGCAGCATTTCAAGAAGAGATGCACTCGAAACGAAACTTCAACACCCAATTTGACCAACCCACCAAAGATCAAACATCATCAGAGTAGCGGAATAAAGCCTAGGATCGGAAACGGGGATGAGCCTTTTTCAGCGATGATACCATCTTAAACTTTCAGTATATGTGTTGAAGCTATGAAATTGAGATAGGCGGAAAGACATGGATTTAAGAGAGAAATTGTAAACTTTGGATATTTCACACTACAGTTAAATGACTAATACACTACGGTTTTATAGAAACCATTTTTACAACAATGACTATAATACCCTCTAACAATCTCTAATCACAACTAACTACAATCATAACTAACTCAACCAATTACAAGTTAAAAAATGTCATCATCTTAGTATAGCTATTAGTAAGCACACTACCCTCTCATTGTACGTTTTCTTTCATCTTGATGAATGTCGTATTTTTATCTAAAAAGTTATAGGTAGATGGAGCCCTCCCTGGACGAAATGAAATTTCAGGAAAATACCATGGAGCCCTGCCTAGACGTACGCTTTACATTTAGAAGATGGTCACTTGATTTTTTCTCCAATCTGTTCATGCATTAATTTACAGCAGTTTTTTTTCTCATGGAAATTTATTAAATTCTAGGAACGTATATGATCACCTTATCTTGTTTCCTTAATTTATTTTGATAGAAGTTTTGTTCTCATTGACCATGATTCTGCGTTAATAAAACACGAATTGACCAAGAAAATTTAGGCAATCAAGTTTCGTTTAAGAAAGAAGAGAAAAATTCTTACCTTCCTCAGCCACCACTCTCGTTTCAATCAAATCGATTGTTTATTAATATGATGAGCATCTTTTTCCTGGTCGGATTAATATTCAATTAGCTACTCCTCTAATATAAAATTAATTACTAGCATTGCCAGTCACTTTGCTATCTATGTTTTAATTAATTAAAACAGTCAAATAAACAATTTGATTAGCTGGCCAGTATAGACTGCCACCATATCTGCTTTTTATGAAGACGAAATATTCTTACACAAAAACCTATAGCTTGTGATTCATCCAGTTAAATCTAGCTTAGCATCGTAGTCAAACTAAAAACGAAATAATTACAGCACGAGGTTTTAATTGATTAAGTTTAGCCAATTAGTATTACAGTTTAGTAGTATTTTTTTTAATTTATAATTAAGAGATTTTAGGTTCAATTATTATCAAAAGTGAATTTGAATTGAGATTTAGCCTATTTCTCCATCCCCATTCACTTTGCGTAGATAATATGGTTTATTAAAAAAATTGATTAAGTTTAATAAGGGACTTTTCTTAGGATAGAATAAAAAGTTATAGGCCCTCAATTATAATAGAAACCATCTTTGAAATTTCTGCATCGTTGAACATTATTTATTTATACATAAAGTTGCGCAGTGATATGATCCTATGTTGAACAATATTTATCTACCCACTCCACCAATACTATACCAAATCTTCAGGCACTGACTTCTTACTTTCCTTGTATAAAACGATATGTCCTG